CTCCTCCTCCTTCTTCTTCTTCTTCTTCTTCTTCTCCTCCTCCTCCTCCTCCTCCTTCTTCTTCTTCTTCTTCTTCTTCTTCTGTTGATTTCAAACAAACAAATAAAAGCTCATTACTTCCTGTGTGCCAGAGGATTTTGCCCAGGAAAGCCCGACCAGACACCAGGTGTTCAGATTAGCCAATGCAAAGATTCATAAACTGGCTGTAAGCTGATTTATATTATTTGCAAACAGACATTTATTTATATGAAATGTTGCAGATAATTTTTCACCCCCATATATTGACATTCTCGTCTGTGTTTTATACCCAATTAATATTCCTGCGGTACCATCTCAGTTTCCCCATGATTCATTAAAGGTTGATATCTCTTTATTTCTCTCGTACTGCCTGTGCTGCAGCACCTCTTTTCACCCTCTGTCTGAAACCAACCACTTAGAAATAGACGCTTTCACACCGCAGTACTTTTCCCACAAAGGTTCATGAGAACTTAGTTCATCAGAACTCTTTAGTTCTGATGAACTAAATACAGATGGCGTTCACACCGGAATAAGTCCCTGGGGGTGGATTAGGCAAATGAAGCCGCTGACGTCACTTCTTCTTCTTCTGCTTTGGGTTTACTGGCAGGCCGCAAACAACTTCACGGCGTATACTGCCGCCCAAAATCTGGCTTCAGTAAAAGCTGCTGGGACTCCCAGCAGCTTTTACTGAAGCCTTCCGAGTAAATCGCCAGAACGCCGACACCTCCTCATCTCCACCGCTCCCATGTTTTATTTTGTGTTGCCATAAGTTAGTCTCTCTGCGTTTCTGCGCTGGGCTAATGCTAATAATGCTAATGCGTGGATAATAAGATGCTGGCTTCACAACACTTTTTTTGAGTTTTACGGGGCGTGGTTTGCAATCCGCCCAGCCAATCAGAAATATAGCTCTTTTCTCACAAGAGAGCCGCATGAGAGTCCCTGCTCTCTAGCAGGGACGGAAAAGGGGGTAAAAAGGTTCTCATGAACTAATTTTAGTTCCGGCTCTTTTTGTTGTGAACGCGACATTTCGGAACTATATCGGAACTAAAGTGGGAAAAGTACTGCGGTGTGAACGCGGCTATAGTCCCGCCCTTTTAGTCTATCACGTACAATGAAGCATGGGTGTTACATAGTGATGTCATCAGGGATTTCTAGCCTTAGCAGACCATTTAAATCATAGAAACCTATATAACACACTACAAGACGTTCATCTTATTACCTCAACATTTTACATTATTTTATAAAACATGTTCTGAATATATCCTATAAATTAAAGATTTGAAAGCAGTTACGTGTGCAGCCAACATTAAGGGTTCTCCTCCCGGTCAGACCACCTCTTGTTGCAGGGTGGAGGTGTCTGGAGCGAGTGTAGGGTTTAGGAGGAAGTTGACAGAGCTTAAGAGCAGGAGGCACACCCAAATGGCTCGTGGGTAAATCCTGAAAGTAACAAAAAAAACAAAAGACTCCATGCACATCTCTGCAGTTTGTTCAAGTTCATGTATCTGTTTTCCTTCCTGTACATTAGGTTTATTGAGCTGGGTGTGCATATATTTGTGACATTGAGAGTGGATTTCACTACTGAGGAATATGACACCTTTCAAGAATGTGTTTTTTTTTGCATTAAGGGGACAGTAAAGAAATAGGGGGAGAAGATAGAGGCGTATGACGTGAAGAAATGGTTACAGGGCCGTTTTAAACTCAGGATGTGGAAAATCCCTAAGCTACGGAAGTGCTTATAATATGGATTTCCAATTAACTGTTTTCAGAGATTCAATTTCAGGGCAAGGTTTGTCATTTTCAGGCCAGAAATTGACCCTAAATGCAATGATTTTCAAATCAATGTAATGCCATCTCCCCAGATAAATCTACATTGGGTCTGTGCGTAGTCTCGTTAGGTTGTCATGCTAAGAAAGAGGTTATGTGGTCCTGGTTTTTTCCAGTGTTTGCACCTGGAGGTTGCCTCATATTTGTTTTCAATCTCTTCATGTCATTTTTTTCCTTCTACTCTGTCCATAAGGCATCTATTGCATGTCAGTCTGTCCTGGAAAAGGGATTTCTCCTGGGTTGATGTTCCCAAGGTTTCTTCCCCATCAAAGACTTTCTTTCTTATCTGAATCAAGGGGTGAAGGATGAAGGATGTTGTGTGATGTTCAGAGTGCCTGTTTTGCTCTTTGAGGCCAAATTGAGCTTGTGGGCCATATAAATAAAATTGAGTTGACTTAATAAAGGCGGAAATTCTGCCCCATAATTTCGACAGCAAAATAATAAAGGGGTTAACAAATACAAGTGTATACAACAGGATTTATACTTTGACTTAATGGTATTTAATTGAAAGAACAGAGCTTGTGATCATTCTCAGTAGTGTTGGACGGTAACGGGTTATATGTCTGTACAATTTATTGTACGATGGCCGACAGGTGCAAACGCGTAACAACGGGCCAAAACATTTCCATTGGTAGAATTGCACTGCAGTTAAAAAAAAGTATGCAATTCTAAAAACACAAATGAGCCAAAACACATGCACATGAAGAAACATTAGTTTTGTTTCCATTGTTTTTTTAGTTAGCCAACTTTATAATCCCGTGAACACAATCTCTTAAAAAAGCTTGAGGGAATTTCTTCAAAAAAAGAAGAAAGAAAGAAAAAACTTCCACTTGGATTCAATGATAAACTGATTATAACTTAGTGATTAAATGTCATTGTTACCTAACAAAACACATAATCAGCAATACCTCAATATTGTGCTAATTAAGACAAATTCAAAAAGAGGAATTTTAAATGCAATTTCAATGCAAGGCAACCAACCATAACAATTTTAACCATTAAATGCAAACATACTGCAATACACAATATCGATCAAATATGACTTCAACATAAGACCTGCGTGAAGGTTTTTTGAAATACTTAAGAAGAATATGACATTATGTTAAGAGCTTCAATTAGCGCTGGATGAAAGAGACCCACCGCCTTCTTCTCTGCTTCTCACTGGCAGTTAATAGGTGATTAAGCCCTGCTGCAGACTGTGGGCCACGGGGAGCCAATTGATCTGACCTTTGAACCCTCCCTCTGATGGAGGGGGTGGCTGGAGGTCAGGCCTGTAAGGGATACCCTTTTTATCCTTCCCCCAGAACAGGAGCTCAAAGCTGGGGGCACCCAGCCAGGTTCCGAAGGGTCTCTTGGGCCCCCCTACCACCAGCATCGCATTCATATGGTCAATATGAGCCAAACAGCAAACACCTCTGAGACTCGTGATGCTTTGACCCGAGTGGCTTTGATTTTCCCTAGGGTTTCTAAAGCTTTCACAGTAACTTTTGATTGAGAAGACAAACAGGAAGTAGATATTGCATTAAGAAAAAACTAAGTTACACAACATCTTTCATAGGGGACGGATTTCAATTGGATGCTAACTCCTCTTCTTCAGTCGTGAAGTGAAGACTGAGCTGATCCTTCCCTCAGTCAAGGACTTGTCGGGGATTTTCAGTGGAGAGGACTGTGTAATGCCACTTCTCTTTGAGGTATCCATTGAAGTCAGCACTATTGCATTAAGCTTACTGGTCTTCCTAAGGGCACCTTTTCATCACAACCCACACACACACATCCCTTCCCTCACACTCCTCCTTTTAAGTTGGGGTATTGTCTTTGACAGCATTATAACGGTATCATTCCGCTCCCACTGTGAACAACAAAGACAAGAAAACGCAGAGTCCTAGAACGCAGCAATTTGTGTGTGTGTGTGTGTGTGTGTGTGTGTGTGTGTGTGTGTGTGTGTGTGTGTGTGTGTGTGTGTGTGTGTGTGTGTGTGTGTGGTGCTCTTTAAGGCAATGCTAATGGGCCCTAAGAAGCATTAAAGTGACCCCTACTGTAACAAAAGAGTTAATAATCCGTTTAGAAAACAATCAGATCCCTGGCCATGAGAAGAGCCCCCCGCTAAGTCTTTCTGTAAAGAGGAGGAGGTGGGAATTCACCTTTTTTCTTTTTTCAGTCTGCAATCTTGTTGAACATCGCTTGTTTTCATCGCTCTCTCTACGGGGAATGATGGAACTGTATTTAACGGCAGCTCCCAGCCGCAGTCGGCAAATAAAAAAGGCAATGCGGTTTAGTTTCACAATTAGGAAAGGGGGGAGGAGGGTGGGGTGGCGACCATTTTGAGAGTTTCAAAGTGACCCATGCCGGAGGACAGGGATTGTTATCAGGCCGATCCACTGTAAATGAATCGCATTGGACTTCAGAGGCAACTATTAACAAACAAACACTGGCACACCCGTTAATTGCTAATGATAGCCTCTTTGTCTAGTGTTTCCCCTCTGGGTCAAAGTGTTCAACCTAAAGGATCCATCTCCAGGCAAATGGCTGTCAGGTCACTGATATAATGAGGTGATAAGGGCCATTAAGACTATGAATGACATCTCCCGTGCTGTACGTCAAATATCAGGGTGATTAAAAAAGTGTTAGAGAGTGATAAAATAAGTACTAGCTCAGTGTGAGGGACCATAAAACGTTGAATGTTTTACCTCAGGGCTGGCAGGCTTATCTGTTATGCGTCAGAGCGATCCATCTGTTTTAACATCAGGTCAGAGCTGAATCTATCACTGCTTATCTCCGCTGTCAAGTAGGTGAGGATAGGTTTTCTTCTTTATCTCTGTTGCTTGTCCTTCTTTCCATCCCTCAGCCCTCTCCATAATCTCTTACGTCCTGGAAACTGATCACAAAGCCTGTGGAAGATCATTTATTTAGCTAAATAAAAACAACAACCAAAGGAATGTGACATTTCAGTGAGATTTTGCTTCTTCGCAAAGCATGGCAGCTCTTATCAAGTGTCACTTATGGCGCATTTCCACTGCAGGACCTAGCACGGCTTAGTACGGTATAGTTAAGCCTTGGTAGGCCAGGCTCACTTTATGCTGCATTTCCATTACAGTTTAGTAGCTGGGGCAGTAACTATAGTAACGCAGTGTAGGCGGAGCCGTGACGTCATCTTCAATGCGAACCACAAACTAACATCAGCCGTTAGCTGTTAGCACTCAGAGCTCATAGCTCCTCATATCTGTTCAGAAACTAGACAAAAGTTAAACAAGTACAAACCACAGACTGTCTGTGTCATGGCGAATACAATCGCTGGTTTATTTATGTCTATATAGGCCGTTGTTGTGAGTGTGGACGGTCGGAGCATATTAAACGTTAGCTTAGCCGATCTCCATTCAGAAAACAAGCATTTTAAAAGGTTTTTCGCCTGCCGTCTGTCTGCAGACTTGTCAAAGCATTAATTCATGGTTTTTACTAACCGGTATCAGTATGTTGTTACTTCGGCATCATTTTGAAACGTGTATTACAATTAAATCACGGTAAAATATGTTCATTTTGTTGTAGTTGTAGCCCCCTCTGCCAGCGATTCACTCTGACCATTCAGCAGTCGAGAGTGTCTGTGTCACTAGTTTAGCATATTCAGCCCGGTAAGAACCTCGATTTTGGAGGGCCAGAAAAAACGTGCAACAACATTAACATTAACCTTTCTGTTGGCCGCTTGTTAGAAGACCCTTCACACGATGGCAGAGTGAACAGGTACAGGCAGGGCCGGACCGAGACAATAAGTCAGGCAGGAAATTATACACTCAGACAGGCCACTACCAGTTTTTTTTAGTGCCATTTTGCTGGATTTATTTGTCAATATTGACAGCGTTGCTGCCCATAGTGATAGCCCTATAGTTTAATCTACGACCCACAAACAAACATATGGACATGGGTTACTATTTAAAAAAATTGTAAATGTATTTAGGAACCTGTCCATGTGATTTTAAGTGGGGCTGGCATGCTCCCCCGGTAAGATTTTATTTTTATTTTGGAGTTAAATGCATCAATCTGGTGCACTTTGAGAGGAAAATAAAGAGACTAGATCTATGGGAACACCTATATGAAACAGAACTGTTTACATTTCAATAATAATAAAATCATGGCCATAACCAATAACATACCATATCCAACATGAAAAAACACTGAAACTTATTTATTTATTTATTTTTGGGTCATTTATAGCTGTGGGTGTGTCTGGGCTCCTGAATCAGCCTCTCCCTCCTCTCCTCCCTTCTCCTCTTTGAGGCAGCAGCAAATTAGCTCTCAACAAGTTTTAAAAGTGTATCTTACCTTTTTTCACCTAGTTTTTCATGCATATTTTACTAATCACTACCCCCTCAAATGGGAATATGTGTTGCGGTTCATATAAAAGCCGATTGGGGAAATCCAGCTGGTGTGGACGTTAAGCTAATTGATCATCCCTACATTGCTAATGGTTTTTGAAGTGACCATGCCACCCTATTATAACGCCTATTGTTTCAGGTGGCATGCCATAAATAGCACTATAACTTATTATTTCTCGTTTTTTTTTATTAATAAAAAATATTAAATTTACAAAATAACCCTTTTAAAGAATATTTATTATGTAGACTAAACAATCTCGTAAAAATCGATCCTATCGTCATAAAAATTTCACAAGTTTGTGTTTCATTGTTCATTGTCTGCCTTTGTTCTTTTGGCACAAAAACGATAGGAATGAGTCATGATTTTTTGTGACACGGTGACGGTGGAGTGTTTATTTTGTTTCCTGTAAATCATTAGTCTGGGAACCGTTATTTTATTTACTTCAAAGGTGAAATCCAAAAGTTCATTGGAGTTGAGTTGGTGATTCAAGTGAGTGAGTCGTAGTAGTCTGTCCCAAAAAATCCTTATAACTCGCTACAGGTGTAAAAGCCCCATCTTTCGACCCCTACAAACCCGCAGATGTTATAGGGGCGACACCTTTTTTTGAGAGAGCGCAAGCCATGACTACAACGACCCTGTCGATCACCAAGCGCAATTTGGCTTATAAAAAAATTGTTACTGCGTTTTAGACTTTCGCAGACCCAGTAAAACTGTCAATCTTTGTTCTGAGCGCTTGTCCGGCGGTTTCAAAGGGCGTCACGCGAGACCACCAATACGGCACAATACCGTAACGGGAGGTTTTACTTTAAACTTAAAAGGTTTTTGGCATGAAACGGCATTGTCTAGATAACTTTACAGACCCTCAAAAATTAAATGCGAGCACGCGCGAGGGAGCTCACGTACGTATAGAGTCCACCCGTAACGTGTTGACCGTAGAGTTGTGGCCGGGGGGGGGGTCAACTGTCAGTGCTCGCACGAGAGAGAGGAGAGGGGGGGGCACAGTCGGGACTGCAATCGACCGCGTCAAGTCTTGGGCTGCCCATTATACTTAATACCACTATAAAATGCTAGGCAAACAGTTTTACTGCGCTGTCGCTTTTTCAAGATTGCGGTGCGAGTCACCCTGCCTGCGCTATACGAAAAGGGCTACCCACTGTCGTCACCGCCAGTTTGACAACGTAACCAAGAGAGGTGGTGAAGTTTTGGGTTATGTCAAGAACGGTTCTTGCCACTCCGAATAACTTGTCCCGGCTCTATATTTGATATGACAACATCAAACAGTTACAAGATCCATACAATTTACATCTGGACATTTATGACTTAACAGGAAAACACAAGACAACAAAGATACAAGTAACAACATTTGATGACAACGACGGTACACCGTCCGGAGAAGAACTTTTTTGCTAGAGTTACCTTGGTGGACCAATTTATTTGCCAAATTTTTTTTTTTTCACAAATGTAAAAAAAAAATTTTAGCGCCATCTAAAAACGGTCAGAGTAGCTGCCGATAACCCTGTAAATAAATGCGGCTATGGCGCTATAAGCCATATAGCAAATGTAGGGATAATTGATCACCTTGTTACTAGGGAGTGAGATGCGAAGGTACATGGGTCCGGGCTGACCGGTTAGGAACCCTGGAGCACACTCGGTCCGGACTAATCTACACCGGACCGAGTGTGCCCCACTGACCGACAGGTGTACTACACCGGACGGCCTGTACGCGGTGACAGTATGTCCTAGTAATTTAGTTTCGGGAACTAAACCAGAACACAAAGTAAGTTTCCGAGCCCCTATTTTTTGGGAAAAAGCGATTGTGAGAGACTCACAATCTATCATGAATCAGATCAAGAGTCACCCAGAAGTCGTTGCCGCAAACGCGAGTGGT